ATATTGTCATTGTAGGCTCAAGCGATTATGCGTCTTGCCAGTGAAAACTCATCGGCCAAACCTCTTGTTGCAGAAAGGTTAAAAACAGATAGGCAAAAACCACCTCTCAAACCCAAATCACTATCAGATTCCAAAATAAGAGCAGGTATGAGTAGCTCATTTCGACATGTACCTCAATTAGTTAAGAGCATTCACCATATACCCAAATTTTTGTGTATTGAAATACTCAGCATTGCTCATATATCAGGTGATTTTTGGTTTGTCATAAAAAAAAGGTTACAGGAGAACAGTTTACAATGAATACCCCAGTTTCCTAACTTTACCCGCCCCTGCAAAATCATCCTTGTCCTTAGTCTACTAGTTGATATATTTTTATTTTTTTTTAAACGACTACTAGTTGATCTTTAGTCTTCACAAAAGGAATAATGTTAATCACATTTGCTCTACATAAAATTCACATATTATACACACAATTTTCACATACTATTGAATAAAAATAATATACATTAAAAAATTTAAATCTATAAAGCATATATATCGAAACTAGCAAATTAATATCTATAAAGTATAAACAAATGCAAATAGAATGGTTTTGTTTTTTAATTAAGGTTTTTACGGCTATATTACGGTTTTTTATTATAAAAAAACTAGTATAGCCGGGCGGCTATACCCTTTTGATTTTGCGCTATGCGTTCCCTTTTTTTTAAAACAAATATTATAGCCGGGCGGCTATACTCAGGATTTTAGAAAAACAGTATAGCCGACCGGCTTTCCAACCAATCTTTGTCCTCGACACAAAGTAATATTTTAGGGGTTTCTTGTATACCATTTCAGTTTTGTGCTAGTCATGGGCCTATGGGAATTTGGCTATATATATATATATATAAAATTTTCATTTCCTTTATATGGGTTCGATGTTCAGCAATTTTGTTTTTCGTTCTCAAGTGTGTATATATACATATGTTTGAAGACTTCTGTTCACTTCTTGGGAATAATATATATATATATATATATCATGGCTTGTAGCACTCCAATTATACCAAATGCACACAAATTTTTAATTTTCAGGAAATAATAATGTGCCCAAAGCTTGAAATCCATGATGTCTATGTTGTGACTGCCATATTTGACTGTTCAACTTCTTTTTCCTAAAAATAATTTTCTCAAACAATTTATTATAATGTTATATCTTACCAAACTGCGAATAATTATGTAAAATTATCTGCTATATTGATTCCCATAGATATTGTCATTGTAGGCTCAAGCGATTATGCGTCTTGCCAGTGAAAACTCATCGGCCAAACCTCTTGTTGCAGAAAGGTTAAAAACAGATAGGCAAAAACCACCTCTCAAACCCAAATCACTATCAGATTCCAAAATAAGAGCAGGTATGAGTAGCTCATTTCGACATGTACCTCAATTAGTTAAGAGCATTCACCATATACCCAAATTTTTGTGTATTGAAATACTCAGCATTGCTCATATATCAGGTGATTTTTGGTTTGTCATAAAAAAAGGTTACAGGAGAACAGTTTACAATGAATACCCCAGTTTCCTAACTTTACCCGCCCCTGCAAAATCATCCTTGTCCTTAGTCTACTAGTTGATATATTTTTATTTTTTTTTAAACGACTACTAGTTGATCTTTAGTCTTCACAAAAGGAATAATGTTAATCACATTTGCTCTACTTTTTCTTTAACAGATCTTCCCTAACTAGTTTTTTCCTTTACCTATTTCAGGACTTCCAATGGCAAGAAGATATTCCTTGCAGTGTTTTCTTGAAAAGCGCCGTGGCAGGTAAAGATGTCTTTGTTTGTACGTAGACTGTAATAAACTACAGTGCCAAAATCATACTTTATAAACAAAGTCCATACATGCCAAGAAGATCATCTCTATTTTCATAGAGAAAACGATGTTGGTACCCATAAATTTGCTCACTATACCTGCCTAAATAATTGATGGTCAACAATTTTTTCTTACTGTTTGACAAAAGAAAAAATAATAGAAGAAAATAAAGGAAAAAAAATATGAAAGGAGATGCAGTTGTTTTTAAAACCCTATAATGAGCAAATTGATTGGCATCAATAGCTAGAGTTTGCCCTTTCATTGTAGCCCTAGGAAAAATTTAAGATTAACATGGTTTCTATTTCTTTATTCTTAAGGCACAAAATATTTGATTTTTTTCAAAACACATAAGATATTTAATTATAATTGATCAATTTACATAGCACTTTACACATGACTTTTGTTTTTGCAGGATCATCAACAATTCTCCTTATGCCCTTCATTCTTAAAAAACAAGAAGACAATTATGAGGCAATTGTAAACACGAGTCGAATGAAAGCGATAAACTTCACTTTTACCATTCCCTCCACGTTTAGGATACTTTTCTCATAGGTCAGTTAATCAAGGCTCTTGTTGAGGGGATATTAGGGTTTATATACCTTAGGTTCTTGCCTATGCAATTACCAATTCATTGACTGGCTATATATACAGTCAGATGTAGTTAATGTTTTTTTTAATAAAAGAAAAAATTATATGTTTTATGATAGACTATATTTTTATTTGAGGAGGAATATAAATCATATTATAAATGGTGTGGTTTGAAATTTTCTCCAATTCTCCATATTGCCTCGACATGTTGTTCTATTAATACTTTAAACCTAAACACAAACTGAAATTTATACAATCTCCTGGCCTGTTCCTTATGCTAGATTCATTGTGATAAATATTTCTCTAAATTTTTTTATTTTTATTTAAAAAAAAGTGAACTGTTGGAACTTTAAAAAAGTTATCATGCACTCAAACTCCGGAGACATCCCGCCCAAGGCTCAAGCCCAGCTTGTCCATTGATATCGAGCTCAACCCAAGCACCTGGACCCGAGCTTAGCTCGGTCATTTGTACTTTAGCCCAGCTCGACCAAGAGGTATTTTACCACACAAAAAGAAATCCCCCAAGTCCCCAGACGAGAGTTTTGTGTGGGGAGTTGCATCTTTTGGACAACTCCTTCTTGGGACCTTGGTTCCCTTTATCCCCACTTACGTTTTGTGAATTTGGTATGCTAGCTGCATGCCAAAACTTGTATATGTTGCTTGTGTTTGTTATACCAAATACCAATTGGATCATGTTTGTGAAAAAAATGGGCACATCAATGTGCACCTAAACTGAGGCAACAATCCAATATAATTGCATGCAATTCCAAGTGCTTGCCCATCTAAAACTTGACCCATGCATATGCAACGCCTTTGGGTTTCAAAAATAGAAATCCATGAGATTCTGAAGGTGAATATGAATCTGCCAATACTTCATCAACCAACTCCAAACCGCTGCCTTCATTCCATGTGTGCCATGCCTGACAAAATTTCATGTATGTTGGCCCTAATTGTTAAACTATGCTGCATTTAGCTTCATATAGGTTGCTTAAGCAGTATGAAAGATATGATTTTGCATTAAGATTTAGAGTGTGAGCTTACATAAGCTAGGAAGCCTATATGTTGGTCACTGGAATAGAAGCTGGTATATTCCTTTTTGCCACTAATAATCTCCAATTGCAAGACCCCAAAGCCGTAGCCATCAAATTTTTCAGAAAACACCCCACCCATAGCATACTCCGAAGACATATAGCCACTGCACAATCAATTGAGAACTGACGAAATTGCTTCTTTGTTTATAGTCTTGGGAAAAATTATACCAGAAAAGTTAAATCTAAACGCCATGCAATGCAACTAATTTTTAGTTAATTATGAACACAAACAGAAGGGAATTGGAGTCCATTAAAAGGGCAGGGTTGTAAATTGAAGTGCTGGTACACCTCGATTTACCAACATGTTAATCCCAATGTTCCAAAAATCACTACGCAGTAAGGGGGTGGCAGGGAAGGGCCTAGCGCCTAGAGGAGTAATCGGGGCCTATATGCAAAGTGCCTATGCTTTTTTTAATAAATTATTTAGGATTATAAATTACAAATTTATACCAAAATCAAGAAAAATAAAAGGATATATAAATTATACATTAAACAAACAGTATAATATTTTTTTGGTTGAAAATATTAATATTTTTATTTTTATTTGTTACTTATTAGTGGTTACTTTAGTGATTTCATAATGCAAAATCCATTTAATGTTGTATTTTATGAAGCCCAAGCCCATTCGCCTAGCCCGCCTAGCGCCAGCCTAGGCCATTTATTCAACTCCATTCAATGCTTTTTATGAAATAGCCTTTCAGGTGACCTTAATTGCTCAAGGGGATGTTCCTCTGTCTATTGTAATGACGGTATGCACAACTCTTGGGGCAGCAGCCCTGACTCCTCTACTAACAAAGATATTGGCAGGGACTTTCGACCCTGTGGATGCTACCAAACTGTCAATGAGCACCATGCATGTTAAGTTAAATGTAATAAACTTCAGTAATATTATATTATCCATCAGCTGGAGCTCATTGGTCTCTATTCTGTCATCTGTAGGTCGTTGTTGCTCTAATTTTGTTAGGTTCTTATATGCAGAGTGCATTTCCTGCAGTGGTTAAAATTGTGATACCTTTTGCACCACTTTTTGCTGTTCTAGCTGCATCACTGCTTGCATGCAGGTACATTTGTTGTGCATATAAATATCTTTTTAATTACTTATATGTAAAATATGATTGTCTTGCCTGTGGTTCCTTCCAAATGTGCTCTCTTTCTCAAACATACTATATTTTATTTTGTGGGCCAGTGTATTCTCCGAGAATGTTGTCCGTCTCAAAGCTTCAATGGTTGCTGTAACATTGCCGGCTGAACTGTCCCTAATGGCTCATGCTGAGACAGTGTTATCTGGAGAAGTTGGGGTGGTTATTCTTTCTATGCTGTTAGTACATATTGCTGGTTTCTTTGTGGGGTAAGTTGCCTTTAACTGTTGGTGACTTTAATTGTTAAGTGTGTTGTTGTGGAAAAAGCTCAAGGTAATGTATACATTGTTTTCAGTATGTAAAGATTCACTCTAATTTTAGCTAAAAAATTCTTAAAAAATTGCGATGTAGCCTTGTATTAGTGTATTATTGCTCTTTGATTTAGCTTCTGTCAAGTTTGATATATAAATTATAGAGTGAAGTTAACTATACATTGAAAAAACAAAGTATTCATAATTTGTAAGCAACAGTTGAGAAACTGTAGTTTGCTGTCATAATGACTTCATAGCCATAAAAGCTTTTGCAGTAAGAAAGTATATATTCAATCTTCTTTGTCTATGTGGATTTTAATTTGACATATGAAGATAGAAGCTAGTTTTGTATACGAGCATTGTTGGCAGAGTTTGCACTCATACAAATATTCTTTAAGGTTGTGGTGCTGGGCCTGTTTGTTTAGTTTGTTTTGGAGTTTTTGCGGTGCAAATGTGCAACTTGAGGAGTTTTTTTTTACCAAGGAGAGTCTTAATTTGCAGGTATATATCAGCAGCTGTTTGCGGGTTTAGAGAAGCACAAAGACGAGCAATATCAATTGATGTATTAATCAAATAGAATGTAAACCTTAAGACATGATCTGGCTTTCTGTGAGTCCTTGTGTTCCAGTTTTGTTTCGGCTTTGGTCAAATTGGTAATAAAGATATAAAAATTCTCTTCTTCAACTTTATTGTAAGTCCATAGAAAATCTTCATTGTTTTATGCTCAGATTGAAATGTCGAAACTTTCATAAATTTTGGTGGGCATGCAACACTAATCCTTCATTTACATGATTGACACTCGCAGGTTGGTATGCAAAATTCTTCTTTGGGTGTGGTTTTGGCCACCTCTCATTTCACCTCGCCGATGGTTGCATTACCTGCTGCTGTGATTGTGAATATAATGGGAAGCAGCCTGGCATTCTTTTGGAGATACGTAGATCCTTCTGACTCCAAAGGAGACTCCTACAGTTGAGGTTAAGTGACAACTATAGCACCCTTTCGAAGTTTTCCCTAACCGGCAATATCTGCTGTGAGTATGAATACAATGGGCAGCAGCAATCTGGGTGTCCTTAGAGATATGTATCCTTTTGGCTCCATTAAGTCTCCTACAATTGATGTTAAGTGACAGTAAAAGCCTTTTCTAAGTCTCTTGGCATACTTATGGAGTTCATATTCTTTATTTTATTTTTTATGTGAAGATATTGTTAACTAATAGTCTGAAACAATGTCGTTTGAGGTCACACTAATATTTCAAATATAAATAAGCATCATGTGGTGTTATGTACCTCTAGAATCTCATGGTCTTTTCCTCTAGCATCATGTGGTGCTTAGTTTTGAGCCAGAATTGAACTCTTCTACTGAAAATAGTATAGCCTATCTGCGCAGATAGTATTTTTATTTTATTTTATAAATAGTACAGCTGCGCGGCTATACTATTTACATGGATACTATTATCATTTTTCCCTGATTTTGTTTATTGATAGTTTAGAGTATTTTCCATTACTATTAGGCCTTTACACGAGTCTCTATTGTACCCTTTTGAGTTTTTACTTTTCCAAAGTTATTAGCCGTATAAAACATTTAGCATTTCCATGTTTAATACTCGCATTTTACATGTACGTATGTATTTTTCATGTTTAATACACTTGATTTTTTACAAAATTTTCAATAATACACATAAAATTCACATATTATACACACAATTTTCACATACTATTGAATAAAAATAATATATATTAAAAAATTTAAATCTATAAAATATATATATCGAAACTAGCAAATTAATATCTATAAAGTATAAACTAATGCAAATAGAATGGTTTTTTATAATAAATCGTATAGCCGCTATACTACGGTTTTTTACTATTAAAAAACAGTATAGCTGCCGGCTATACCCTTTTGATTCGGTGCTATTAGAGCTCGGTTATACTCGGGATTTTTTCAACAAAAAAAAAAGCATAGCCGACCGGCTTTAGTAGGGTCTTTTTCTTATTTTTATTTTTTATAAATCGTATAGCCGCACGGCCCTTTTCTAAACCCTAAACATAACTCCATCGTCATCCTCGTTTCTCTCTCTCTCTCTCTCTCTCCAGCGCTTGCCTAGACCACCTAGCCCGCCTAGCGCCCGCCTAGACCGCCTAGCCCGCCTAGCCCCCGCGTAGGCCATTTATTCAACTCCATTCAATGCTTTTTATGAAATAGCCTTTTAGGTGATCTTAATTGCTCAAGGGGATGTTCCTCTGTGTTGTAATGACGGTATGCACAACTCTTGGGGCGACTTACGTCATGTGAATGCTGCCGAACTGTCAATGAGCAACATGCAGGTTAAGTCACCTTGAACCTGTTCTGCTTCAAACAACCAATCTTTGTCCTCGACACAGAGTAATATTTGAGGGGTTTCTTGTATACCATTTCAGTTTTTGTGCTAGTCATGGAATGATGGGAATTTGGCAGGGACTTATGTTCCTGTGGATGCTGCCAAATTGTCAATCAGCAACATGCAGGTTATGTTAAATATAATAAACTTCAATAATATTATATTATCCATCAGCTGGGGCTTATGGTCTCTATTCTGTCATTTGTAGGTCGTTGTTGCTCCAATTATGTTAGGTTCTTATATGCAGAGTGCATTTCCTGCAGTGGTTAAAATTGTGATACCCTTTGCACCACTTTTTGATGTTCTAGCTAGCAGCATCACTGCTTGCATGCAGGTACATTTGTTGTGCATATAAATATCTTTTTAATTACTTATATGTAAAATATGATTGTCTTGCTTGTGGTTCCTTCCAAATGTGCTCTCTTTCTAAAACATACTAGATTTTATTTTGTGGGCCAATGTATTCTCTGAGAATGTTGTCCGTCTCAAAGCTTCAATGGTTGCTGTAACATTGCCGACTGATCTGTCTCCAATGGTTCATGCTCAGACAGTGTTATCTGGAGAAGTTGGGGTGGTTATTCTTTCCGTGCTATTAGTACATATTGCTGGTTTCTTTGTGGGGTAAGTTGCCTTTAACTGTTGGTGACTTTAATTATTAAGTGTGTTGTTGTGGAAAAAGCTCAAGGTAATGTATACATTTTTTTTTTCAGTATGTAAAGATTCACTCTAATTTTAGCTCAAAAATTATAAAAAAAATTACGTTGTAGCCTTGTATTAGTGTATTATTGCTCTTTGATTTAGCTTCTGTCAAGTTTGATATATAAATTATAGAGTGAAGTTAACTATACTTTGAAAAAACAAAGTATTCATAATTTGTAAGCAACAGTTGAGAAACTATAGTTTGCTGCCATTATGACTTCATAGCCATAAAAGCTATTGGAGTAAGAAAGTACATATTCAATCTTCTTTGTCTATGTGGATTTTAATTTGACATATGAAGATAGAAGCTAGTTTTGTATACGAGCATTGTTGGCAGAGTTTGCACTCATACAAACATTCTTTGAGGTTGTGGTGCTGGGCCTATTTGTTTAGTTTGTTTAGTTTGTTTTGGAACTTTTGGAGTGCAAAAGTGCAACTTGAGGAGTCTTTTTTGATTAAGGAGAGTCTTAATTTGCAGGTATATATCAGTAGCTGTTTGCGGGTTTAGGGTTTAGGGGTATTAATCAAATAGAATGTAAACCTTAAGACATGATCTGGCTTTCTGTGAATCCTTATTGTGTTCCAGTTTTGTTTCGGCTTTGGTCAAATTGGTAATAAAGATATAAAAATTCTCTTCTTAAACTTTATTGTAAGTCCATAGAAGATCTTCATTGGTTTATGCTCAGATTGAAATGTCGAAACTTTCATAAATTTTGGTGGGCATGCAACACTAATCCTTCATTTACATGTTTGACACTCGCAGGTTGGTATGCAAAATTCTTCTTCGGGTGTGGTTTTGGTCACTTCTCATTTCACCTCGCCGGTGATTGCATTGCCCGCAGCATTGTTTGTTGTGATTATGAATATAATGGAAAGCAATCAGGCATTCTTTTGGAGATATATGTAGATCCTTCTAACTCCAAAGAGACTCCTACAGTTGAGGTTAAGTGACAACTATAGCACCCTTTCGAAGTTTTCCCTAACCCGACAATATCTGCTGTGAGTATGAATAAAATGGGCAACAACAGTCTGGGTGTCCTTGGAGATATGTATCCTTTTGTATGCATTAAGTCTCTTACAGTTGATGTTAAGTGACAGTAAAAGCCTTTTCTAAGTTTCTTGGAGTTCAGATTCTCTGTTTTATTTTTTACATGAAGATATTGTTAACTAATAGTCTAAAACAATGTTGGTTGAGGTCAAACATCCTATTTTACTCTAGCATATCTTTTGGTGCTTAGTTTTGAGCCAGATTTGAGGTCTTCTACTGAAAATAGTATAGCCGTGCGGCTATACTCGGAATTTTTTATATATAAAAATAAAGAGTACAGCCTTTTTAGTATAGCTGCGCTGCTATACTCTTTACATGGATACAATTATCTTTTTTCCCCAATTTTTGTTTATAGATAGCTTAGAGCATTTTCCATTACTACTAGGCCTTTACACGATTCTCTGTTGTACCCTTTTGAGTTTTTGCTTTTTCAAAGTTATTAGCCGTATAAAAATTTTTGCATTTCCATGTTTAATACTCATATTTTACACGTACTTATGTATTTTTCATGTTTAATACACTTGATTTAATTTTCAATAATACACATAAAATTCACATATTATACACACAATTTTCACATACTACTGAATAAAAATAATATATATTAAAAAATTTAAATCTATAAAGTATATATATCAAAACTAGCAAATTAATATCTATAAAGTATAAACAAATGCAAATAGAATGGTTTTTTTTTTTAATTAATCGTATAGCCGTACGGCTATACTACGGTTTTTTATTATAAAAAAACTAGTATAGCCGGGCGGCGAGACCCTTCTGATTGGGCGCTATGTAGGCCTGGGCACGGTTCGGGTCGGGTTGAATTTTGAGTGACCCGTGGGCCAAACCGAGTAAAATATCGGTTCTCGGGTTGGTTCGGATCCAAATTGAAAGCCGAAAATGGGCCGAACCGGCCAACCCGATAAGCTCAGGTTCGGTTCAGGCTTTTTGGTCGGTTTTGGGCTTTAGCCCACTACTAGTTATTTTTAAGCCCAAATAATCTTTAGTTCAGTATTAACTGGCCCAAATCATTTTTTTCTACTCTTTTTTTTTTTGTGAATATTTTTTTCTACTCTTTCAATTTTCAAATGCTGAAATCATTCAAATTATAAATAATACACCCACACAAATAATAAAGCAAGAAATCCAAATTATAACGATTACAACCCATGACAAAAAAAATAACAAATATCCCTTCAAAACATCAGCATCCATCCATCCAAAAGTTTTGACAAAGCAAGCTGCATTCATCTGTCCAAAAATACACTTGTATCAGTCAACAATCAATCACCAAACATATAATTTCAGTAAAAATAGAAATAAATTTTTTGCTTATCTTCAAAACCATTCAAAGTTTAACAAATGAATATGCCAAAAATCATGAACTACTCCTGAACAAGAAACAGATAAACAACAAAATTATATAACCTCATATTAGAGCTTTATAAAAGCAAACATAGGCACCAGAAGAAAATTATCATCTATCTTTAACGAATGGCATCTGCAAGAAAGCAACTTTACCCCAACTAAGGTCATAAAATTAGACAAAACAGACGAAAATGAACTCAGGAAATTAGAGAGGAGCTGACTGGAAAGCAGCTGTGTTGTAGGGTAGAGGTTTTTTTGTTTTTTGTTCTTTCTTTTTTTGGTGGCCCCCTTGGCCATTGTGTTCTGTGTTCGTTCTTTCCTTTTTGAATGATAAAGTTTCTTTTCAAAAAAAAAAATCAATGGTGATAAGAAGTGAATATGAATTATGAAAAAAAGATGTCTACTTAAGATCTG